TCACTTAGGTCCTGGTCTTTGTGGAGAAACACCTGCTAACTTGCAATCCCCTGCTCTCTGCCTTTCACTGCTATTGCTTGTCAGCACAGAAAGAAGCAATGTTGAACGGTGCCAATGCGGACCAGGGGTCCTAGCAGGGGTGAGCTGCCAGGGGCACCGGCCCATTCGGTGACTGATGACTCTCCCTTTGCATATGCCACTTCTAGGTTGAAATCCAGCATGCGTTACTCAGGATTTTGGTAATACTCAACAGATGTCACAGCCTCAACCTTACTGATGGAGACAGGGGTAGGGATTGCAGCCTGACTGTGAAATAGAGATACATTTCACCGGTCTCTCTTTTCAGCGAGATCTCTTTTCTACACCTTTTAAATAGCTTACACATATTACGTCTACACAATAGCCAAGGGAGGTTATGGGACATCCTTTTGTGTGGTTATGTGAAAGGCCTCCCCAGTGATGGTGCTGCATGCTTGAGAAGGGAAGATATCCTGTCCTAGACACCACCATACTTGGTGGTTGTCATAAGCTGTCAAAATTATGGGAAGAACTAATTAACAGTGAGTGGTAGGAGCAGATGAACTCTTAAAATGGAAAGAGCTTTCTTTTGTGCCTATAGCACTTCAATAACAAGTAGAGAAGAAAAGTATAGAAAGTTTGTGAAACACAAGGAATTATTTGAAAATCCAGAGAGCTTTTAGTTACAGCTGGTGAACGAGAAACACGTTAGCTGCTCCATCCTCGAAGTGGGGCAGGGAGGCGTAGAGAGACATGTCTCTCTGTCTCTAGTATTCATTTGCTGAGGGCAGGAATTTTCTGCTGATTCGTAGTGCCAACAAAGCTGACCATTTCAAGGGGCAACACCTGGAGAACAGTGCCCATCTCTCCTTACTAAGTTGTCAGTGGCTTCAAACACCACCCATGTTCAAGTAACGAAAGAGACTTCCAACTCACCTGAGGAAGGAACCAAAATCAGTCCAAGTCCTATTTTAACTGGATCCCATTATAGGCCAATCCAACCCACACTGAATTTCAGGCAAAGCCTTCCACTGGGCTCGGTGGGAGGTGGCTGGAGCCCTAAATGGCGTTTGCCATAGAGGCAAATGAAGGCCTATTTGCTCAAAACACCCCTTATGGGCACGGTCAATGGGAGTCAGTCCACAGAAGCAACGGGGAAGCAGATCAAGCCCTTAGCTATGAAACAGAAACGCTTATACTTAAAAGCTACCTTACCAGTTCCCTTTGGATCCCTCTTGGAGCTCCTGTCAATGGTTTGTCCAGAGACAGCATTGCAAGACTCTGGCTTAACAGAGAGAATAACTGTTTTTTGACTGGAGAGGGGGGAAAAAAAAAATCTCACACACATAAAAGCTGTGCAACAGGATACCATTAAAATAGCTTGGAGGAAAATCTTCCAGTTGGCCAGCCCCACCTGCAGATCTGAATAGCCTGAAAAGCCTGAATATATTTAATTTATTATTTTCACCATGGAAACGCTCAGCAAAACTGACCTTTTCAGTTTCAATAAAGCTGGATTTTCCTGTAGGTCCCTTGTCAGCCACTGCAATAATAAGTGGAAGTTCTAAAACCCAGAGTTATTAAAAGCTATAAAAAGGAGTAAAATGGCACCCTCTCCCTGGCTCTCCTGGAACGGACCAGATCAAACTCAGACAGGAGATGTACACTCCAACTTCAAACATTTAAGAAAACCAAATTCCATTTGCGATTATGCTGATGCAAATCTGGAGCATCTGTTAACTTTAGTGAAGTTATTTCTGGCTTCCTGGGCACCACTTATTGCAGGATAGGGCCATTTGATCTCTGCTGATACACTGCAGCTACTTTCATCTCAGACATTCAATTTATGGGGTATATTTGGTATTGCTGACTATTCTGGTATATTTATCTTATCTGATCAGGCTCTTGATTTAGCTGTTACTACACAGAGCCACTAATGTACACTGTGCAGTAACAGGGGGAGGGAGATGCTTCTTTTTCTGCTCTTGAAGACACCACTTGGCTCTGGCTGATGGGGAAAACAACAGGATTAGGGAGAAGGGGGGAACGGAGCGCTATATAGGGGAAAGGGGGGCTCGGAGAGAGATTATTACATTTACTTCGAACACAAAAGTTCTTATATTTTTTAGCAAGGAATTTTGGCATGTCTGCCCTTCAGAATATGACCAGTCCTGATAGCTATAATAGATGGCTAAAAAATATTGATGATGTTTGTTTACATACCTGCTTTGTTAAGCAGCCATCATTTGGCAGCAGTGGAACAACGAAATTATTGTTCCCTTGCATTTACCTCCCTCTGCTGGCTGGGCAGCTTTGCTTTGCTTCAGAAGGTATCCGAAAAACAAAAAATTCAAAAATTCAAGCATTCACATCTCAGTCAGTACTCCTGCAATTTGTTGGCTTTGATTTATCCCAATCTAAATTTCACATTTTGTGTTTTCTGTAGAATATAGATATGGGTAAAGAACATGTAAAACACAGTAGCTTTTACATAACCCTCTTAGGCTGCAGGCAGATCTTGTTATTAACAATGGCTACAAACCATCTTCCAGCCTGTTCCTCTCCTGCCCCGTTACACGTGACATTAGCTCAAAAGGCTGTATTTTCTTTCAAGACTCAAAATGAGTTGCTGACATGCCAGGTGTACTCGAGTCAGTTTTTTCACAGGTCAAACAGGCAACAGCTTCTGATTCTAACTCAGAGCCACCATGCACAAGCCTGCAAGAGAGGCGAGATGGCGCCTGGTCATTACGGTCGGCACGGAGAGTCACCAAGGCTCGGGCTGGCCCACAGGGCAATGCTTGCTGCTCCTCGTGCCTCATCGTCCCCATCGGTGGTGTAAGGGAGGCTGCCTTAAACCAGGGCTGTGCTTTAGAGAGCTTTCAGTAAAATCCTCCACAGACATGACTGCAGGATTACTGGGACAAGATTCAGCAATTACAGAGTATTAGTAATGACATCCCCATCTGAAATGGGCTTCAAACCAGGCTTTCAGGCATGCTGCCTGCCTGCATAGAAGCAGCAGCAAAGCTGGACTAAACCTTTTCCTGGACAGCTTCACCACCCCTTTGGACACTCCACAAGACAAGATCCTGCAGGTCTCTGATCTCACATCACTTTCTTTCCTCGTTTTCTTTCATGACAGAAGATCTGGCTCTCAGCTCCAGCAGGGGGAATTGGTCCCCGGTGGTTAAGCCTCAGCTGAGCCTCGCACAACGTTTGTTGGCTGAGGCCACCATGGCAGAATATCCTGCTCATTAGAGAGGCCACAGATTGCCATGGCATCATCCCACTGTCCCTGATGCTGAGGCCCAGCAAGGCCTGGCTCCCTTCAAGTCAAAGGCATTTCATCTGCATGAAAAGAGATTTGAACCTAATCATACCCATCTCCCGCATGCTACAGACCAGTCGGCGACGGTGCACAGCTTTATCCAGACTCTCGTTTTCTCTTCCTGCTGTCTCCCAACATCCAAGCGTCGCAGGCATCTTCCCTCCGTCGTTACTTCTCCTGTAAGGAACCAGGCTGGAGCAGAGCCAGCGCTGACGGGAGCCCTGGAGGGCTGGAGCCTGCACAGAGCCACCCTTTAGCCGCTCACAACTCTGCCTAACAGCTCCTGCTCCAGTTGAGATGTTTTAAGCTTTGTCTCTGCCTCAATGCGATTGTTTTTTCTTTGACAGCTTGAGCAAAAATAGTTGTGTTGTTCTGAAGAAAATTTTTTTGAAAGTTTTTTAAAAAAAGATACTTTTCCTATTTCCTGCTGTCATTTTTGGAAGAGCTTTACAGCAAAATGGCTGAGGCAGTTGGCGTGGGAATAGCTTTCAGTGATACTATTGCCTAAACACCATTATTATGTCTCTTCATATTAATGATTATTATTGCTACTTAGTATTTGAAACTAATAGCACCTAGAGCAGCACACGGGATTAGACCCATTGGGCTGAACACTTCCCAGCCCTATCGGATGAGATGGTCCATGCCCTGGAGAGCTTACGGTACTGAAACGGTGCAGTGGTATAACGACTCCCTGGGGCCTGCTGGGACTTCTTTAGGGAGAAATGGTTTCAAAGAGGCCAGAATAAAAGCAACTTTTGATGGTGTTAATTCAAAGTTTTAAGTCACCAAAATGGGTAGCTTTATGTACCCAGCAAAAATCCTCTTCTCTGCCAGCTTTGTCTGTGCTGGAGAGCAGTCAGCGCCTTCAGCAGCGAATCCATCAGGCTTTGTCAATACAGAGCAAATCACAAAGGTTGGGATTTTAATTATTTATTTTATATCCCCTAAGAATAAAAAATGCTACTGAAAGCCCATAAGCCAGTGGAAGAAAGAAAGAAATAAAGGGAGCAAGTGAACAAGTGAAACTGAAGTAGGAAAGAAGATGAGCCTATCCTCTAGCCCCGAGTCAGAACATTTTATTTTAGACCTCATATTGGTTGTTCTGTTCTATTTACTTGAGTTTTAGACCTCTGATCCTAGCACTGCATTTGCTAAAGGCAGCACAGATGATTGCACCTGACACATTTCCTCTACCTGTGACACCTAGACGCCTCTCGCCCGTGCAACCAGCCTGGCTGCAAGCAGGATTCGCAACGGGACGTGCATTAGGAGATTGCTCATCCTCTTGGAAAGTCCACCTGGGACACTCACATGTCACAAGTCAGACGGAGACACCGAGGCATTTTGCACAAACTAGGAATTTGGTTTAATTGTCACAGTTCCCAGCTTGGGCAGACAACCCAAGGCACGAGGCTGGCAGTCCACGCACTGACAAGAAACATGGGAAAACCACCCAGAGGTTTATAAAATACGTTTGATGCCCCAGGCAAAGTCTGTGGAAGAGAGAAGAAACACCCCCGCATGGCTGATGCCCATCTCCCACCCGGCTGTGCAGGAAGGTTTCTGCAGCCGCGCCGGCTCTCCCTCCCGAGCCGACACCGGGCTCGGACCTAGCGACCAGCCATCTCCCAAACCAGACAGAGCTCATCTCAAACCAAGTGCTTGCGACGTGGGGGTGGGTAAGGGGGAAAACTGCTTCACAGTTTCCTCTGCGGAAACAAAAGGCCTCACACTGCTCACCATATCACACCCACTTGGTAAAGAAAGCAATAGCTTTCTTCACATACCAAATGCACTGCCGGTGCAACCCCCCTGCCCTGGCGGCAAGCAGGGATGAACCTGCCCCTTTCGCCCTTCAGGAAGGGGAGGATGACGACTATTGCCTTCCCAGGGCAGCACTATAAAAAGCTGGGCCCAAAGGAGCTGTGCAAAATCAGAGACTGCCTGGGGTGCAACTGAAACGAGCCCCGTTCTGCCTGTCATTAAGGCCCAAATTTTAAGGGAGTGACCTGCGACAGCTCATTTCTCACTTCCAGCTCTTCAAATGACTTTAAATTACACACACTCAGGGGGAAAAAAAAGTTGAAGTAAATAGGAGACTGTAACTAAATATTGCCTCTTAAGAGGTAGCAGATGAGACACGAGCCACACCGCGCAATGGCATAAACTCTGAATTGATTTTTCCAACAGTTCTCCTTCACTTCCATGCAAAAAAAAAAAAAAGGCTTCTATTTCCTGCCTGTCATGAAGAAGTTTGAACATTGCTGGATTTTCCCTTTGGTTTCTTCATTAGTTATCTAATTTTTGGAATATATTTCTTAGGAATCAGCCATTAAAGAAATTTTTTTTTTTTCCCTAAACTCCTGTTTTTCCTCAGTCCCAGCATTCTCATAGGAATTAAAGCAGCTGAGCACATGATCCTCACCTTCATTCATCTATTTTGTTTTCGAAGAGATGCAGCTCTTTGTCGAGACAGAGCAAAAGACTCCAGACATTTGTTCTACGCCACAACCCCTCAGCAGCCCGTCCTTCCCACCTCTCTACGTACCCGTTAGCTCAGCTTGTCCATAATTTACTCCATGGGCAAATTTACCATATTGCATCAGAGTTGTATATTAAGACAAAAGGGGAGGGTTTATGTGATAATAAATACTTCTAGTATAGACATGGCAACCCAGTTTATCTGGGTGAGGAGATGCCATAGGTGAGGGTCTGAATCGTAGCTCAAACTAACACTGCTGAGAGCTACTGGTGAAGAGCGTTGCATAAGGAGGAGGTGGCACTAGTATCACGTCAGGGTTTAATTGTGTTAGCCAGCAATTTAAATTAGAGGCAAGGTCTGTTTGGACAACCTTCCTTGCTGTCCTGGTTTAGGAACCAGAGTTCACTAGGCCAAAGCAGTAGAGGAGGAGAGATGAAACCTGGCTGCTGATTTTGGCATGTGCCGTACGTCACCGCCGGGGCCAGCTCTGCTGGGACCAGCCAGGCACCAGCACCACCTTGCTGGGGGCCTGGGACCAGGGTCCTTGCATTTCAGGGTTATCATCATTATTTTGAGTACTCTAAACTGCAAGACCACAGCAACATAAAAATTAAATCTCGTGGCCATGCAGCTGCTGCCCAGGGCCGAGCAGAGCCCAAGACAACACTGACCATGCTGGATGCCGCAGGGTGCCTGAGCAGCCAGCACCGATTTAGCCAGGTCCTCAGTTGTCCCCTGTCCAGGGTGGCCCACTGGGACACATGTGAGAGCTAGCTTGTTTAGACAACTCAGCTGGATCTCAGTAGTTCCTGAATTTAAAACCTGCCTCTCACTGGCTCTGCATCAGCCACAGCAAATCGCAGCTTCAGCATCTCCCCAGCAGACCCACAACCCATGCTGCCTCACCTCCTAAACACCAGCTGACGGCCTCAAACTGTAAACTGCTCCTAGCTAGCATTCAGCCACTCTCTTTTTGCCTTGCTAACATTCAGCGTATTCTCAACATCAATATGAAAGGGCTTTTTATTACCTATCAGTGCAACCATTCCTCCACAGCTGTTTTTGCTGAGCACTCTTTCACAGCAGTCCCCCTTTCAGCCCAGCCACCAGTGGAGGAGAAGCAACCAGCCAAGGATGTCAACATCCCTCCGTGCCGAGCACTGGGAGCCACCAGCGTACGCAGCCACATCTCCCTCTTCCATCACCGACAGAGGCAATGTGAGATTTCCAGGCTACGCAGGAGGACAAGCTCAAAAAGCTGGTTAAAACTCAGCAAGGGTGAGAGAGCAAATGACAAAGTCACTGAAGAGAACAAGCAATTCTGTGGTTACTTCTTTTGACCACTAGGGCTCACTCCACTTGCTGATACCTCATCCACCTCCCCAAGCTGCCCTCTGGCTGTTTATTTTGTCTCTGTTTCATGCCCCCTGCTGCTGGATGAGACAACTCATCACAGCTGTAGAGCTACCAAAAGCGGAGGGATTTGTTCCAGCAGGAATCAGAAGTAGCTGTCAGCCTTCAGCCTCTCTTTTGAACCGTGCTCCAAAGAAACATCCTCCAAAGTCACCAGTCTTTCCCTTGCTGCAGTACTGGACCTAACTCAGTGCTTGGCAGTGCTGTTAAGGTGCTTCCTGGAAAAAAAATACAGTGTTAAAGTCACATCTGTAGGCACAGTCCTTGAAAGAGTGATTTCAAAAGCACCCAAAGGATAAAAGCTAACCACTGTTGGGTTTAATTATTAGCTGATCCGATGGCCACTGTTAGGGCATCTCTGATACGCGGGGTCGGCTCGCCCAGACGCTCGCTCTGGCTCCTTCTGCTGCCTCCACTGCTCCAGCACGACTCCTTCATTACGTATGCTGAGGAAAAGATACTTTCTTTTAGACTATTATCTTCGATTCACTTTCTCTCCTCGCTTAATGAAAAGCAAGTTTTTACAGCATGTCAAACAAATAGCCCATAAATACAATACAGTCAAGCTCTTTTCGCGTATTCCTTAGAAAAGTGGGAGTTCTAGCAGCAGGTCCAGCCTCGCGCTTCCGTCCTGCCCGGCCCTCCGCGCAGGGACGACCAGCCTCTCTGCACCCAGGGCATAACCCAGCGCCTCACCCACTTTCGAAAGCACTCTCCCTTCTTTTTCCGTTTATCTTCACTTTTACTTTTAGGCTTTCCCTCTTACCCTTCCCATCGCTCAGTTTTTCTTACAGCAGCGCACTATCAGTATTCCTTGTTCTGTTGGTCCCTGGAGATTCTCATTTTTTGGAAGAATGCAGTTTCTTTATATCTTCAAGCCACTTCCCTGTTTTCTCTTCTTTTTTTCTAATGTACAACCTACTCCTTCATTCTTTCCTCTTTCTCTTCACCACCCTTTCTATTTTTTATTTGATTTTCTATTGATCCATTTTCTTTTCTCCTTTTCCCCTTCAACTCTTTGCTCCTCCTTTTTATCCCTGCCCCACGCCACTGAAGCTTTCCGGCTAGATGTAGTACCTACTGCGGCGCGGGGAAGGAGCGCATCTGAATTCAAGTTGTACTGTACAACAAAAGCCATGTTAAATCTACATACAGAGGCGGCAATACATAACCTTAGAGTTCTCCCCTCCCTGTGCTAAATTCCCAAAGCCGGAAGCCTCCTGTTATCAAAACAGTTTTAAATAAAGCTAAGGAGCGAGTGAGATGGGAAATAAACGGCGCGTTTCCCGCCTGACTGCCAGGCACTCGGCCCCTCTCGTTTCCATAGCCGTGCCGCGCACCTTTCGTCGGGCTCCTGTTCTGCAAAGCTGGGTTCCCCTTTCTTCCAGAGATGACGCCGACACCCCGCGTTGCCAGATGAGCAATATATGCTGCTCTTCTTGGCCTAAGATTAAAAGGAATGTGTTAGTTTATTTTCTACTGCCGGCTGCAGCGGACGGGCAGAGGGGGAGCGGGCGCGCTAGGTGCCCCGCTCCGGGGCGCGTGCTGCGCCGTGGGGCCGATTGCACCTTCCTTCACGCGCTCGGCTGCTCAGGCCCTCGCTTTCACGGGAATCCCTCGGGCACGTGTGCAGCACCTGGGGGTCAGTCAACAGCTACTACTTGGAGATCATGTGGTTTTATACATTTTACACCCAGAGCAACTGAATCCTCTCCTACCTCCCACCCCCATCCTTTTAGGACAGACCACACTGTTTGCCACTGGTGGAGGCAGCACATCTAGGCAACACATGTCCCATCGTAGTCAATACAACATTGTCTGTGAAACAGAAGTGCTTTAATTAAAAGCTATGCCATAAAAACAACAGTGAAAACCAAGGGATCATTTTTTCAGTCCTAAAGACGATCAGAATAAAAATGTAGAAAGTAGTTCTTCAGGGGGGCCGAGGGGGAACTAGCTAAAAGGAGATAATACCATAAGTGTATACATTCTGCGTATTTTCTTTCCATTTTATAGTGGATCATTTCTAAACTGGCTGTCACCCATGCATGAGCTATTACATCAGGCTCAGTAGGTTGTAGATATAGACTGAGACTAAACACACATATACCACACTCATATAAGCTGACACATAATTCTTTCTTGTGCTGCTAAATGGATGCAGAGGAAGTAACAAAGACATGTCTCTCACACTTCAATTAGAAGTCAGAAGAAGCCCTTACCACAGAAAAACTAAAGAATACACTTTCATTTATATATGTATATGTATATACGTACATACACATATATATGTATGTATTATTCACTATGATTTAGTTGCTAATTCAAGATCCTTGTGCTGCACTAAATGCAGTGGTCCTGCTAATATGAAAAGATCCAATCCTTTCCTACAAGCAAATCTCCAAAGATACGGTCTAACATGTATCTCTTGCTTTCTATTTAGAGGTACGCTCAGACTACTAAATTACAGATATAAAATATGCAGAATGACTGTACAAAACTGTAGGGAACAGCAGAAATATGTTCCTTTTGAAGACTCAATTGAATTACTTTGAAAAGATTAATTAAAATTGAGTTTTCTTGTGATACAAAAACTCCTGTTTGCTGGTTCTTGACACTACCATTACCTAGTTTCCATTAGGAGATATTATACTCTGTAACGAAATAAACTTTGAGGACCCCATGGGTTCAAACAAAAAGTTTACTGTATTCTGACAGCCGCAAAAGAGCTGTCGCAACGTGAGCCGTCACGCTTAATGAAAAAGGGTTGACATATTATCATTGAATTTCCACCGGTGATCTGTACCATTGCTTCTTAGAGTACGGCAAGTCAAATAATTGAACATTGTGTTTATTAGAAAACAGCCTGACTTGCAAAGCGACAATCTAGATTCAGATCCTAATTTGGCCTCTCCAGAAAAGTTGGGATTGGGAGGCAGGGGAGTTCCTTTACTCCTCAGCTGCAGCGTCACAACCAGAACGTGAATTGTTAAGAAAGGATGGCTCTCCAGACTAGCCTCTCCAGTACGCTACTGTGTTTGCAGCACCAGCATTGGTGGAAGCCATCCAGTGATTTATTAGGGATTTATTACCTTTAATAGGGATCCGTGTGAATGAATTAGATAAAAGACTGCGAGAGCCTCACACTGCAGCGGGGCTGCTCGCAAGGCGTCACATCGGCTGTGCTAAAATGTTTCTTAGTGCTTTACCGTGCTTTTTAAGGACTTGCAGACTAAGGAGGCATGTGGCATACCAAGAAACCATCCAGAATGAACACGAGGGCCCAGTCTGGCCCCACACGATATAAAAGTGAATTTCAGCATGGTGTTATAGTAACACACTTGTACCTTAAAAGAGACACCGAACTTTATAAGGAAGATTAGTTTCAGGGAGCTGGAGCAAAAATTATTTCTTTCTCTTCTATTTCAGAACATACTCCTTTTCTGGCACGTGTAAAGACAAAATGAAATCCCCAGTGCCCTGTGCCTTTGCCCCAGAAGCTGGCACGCACATCAGAAGGAGATGTGTTTATGTGTTGGCTGCTCGGGGCCCCGTAACAGGGCCCACAAAAACAGGTACTCACCACATCCTAAATCTGTGCTTCGAGCTACGCAGCCAGCAGCCTCCGAATGGAAAGTGAACGTGTAAACACAAGCTGCTATTTTAGTGCAACCACACAAATGCAGCAGCTTGTGTTCTCGCTCCCTTTATTTCCAGAATGGACAGAAAGCTGGAATCAAAATATACAGATATCCCTGTTCTTCTTTTTCCTAAGTGCCCAGGAAATTAAATCTTGCTCACACAGGTAATTCTTACTCACCTTATTCCTACAATAAGAGATGACAGTGTTCAGGCTAGAAGATGTCAAAACCTATTTCCCCTTGGAGAATAAACAGGAATCAAAACCAAGCAGACCAATAAAGGGTTATAGGAACTGACAACGCTTTGTGAATTTGAAAGGTTACATTGTTCAGCTCAAAATAAAACTGAAATGGTGATTCAACCCTGAGCGGCTCCCTCCCTTTTTCACAACGTCTAAAGTCATTCTTCCCGCTATCATACGGATAGTTGTTCACAAAGGAGTTCAATGATACCACCTTGCTCATCTAGTCCAGATGGTCAAAAGTGATGAAAATCCAAAGGTATCCCAGGAAGTGACCTTGGAAATGCTTTTGTGATTCAAAATTCAGGTTGGAAGGTAAGCCGGATCCTGGCAGCATCACTGCTTTAGCTCTAAGGAAAACCTGTGCACCTAGGCCACATCCGACTGTAAAAAGACAACAGTACGCGTGACACAGTTGACAAGACATCTGCTATAGTATTCCACAATCCTCGATTTAAGAAGGAAATAAGAGCTGGTTTGCATCACATATGTCAATAGCCAGGATTTTTGCCTTCTTATCCTTCAGAGTCTATTATCTATAATAAGACTAAATGATGATGCCTCTTCAGAAGTGAAAACTTTGAGGGAAGAATCAGGGAAAAAAATGCAGGCCAAAAATAGTTTAGTTTTGTTTTTTTTTTTCTAAATTGATCTGCTAGCTTTTCTTGGAGAAGCTGGCCAAACTAAAATCACAGGTCGGTGCTGCCCTCACCCTCTGTGTGTTAAGATATATAGTATTTCTACCCAAACCATGCCTGGCTCTGCAAAATAAAAATTAAATCAACAAGGTTTTGCAACACAAAAGCCACCCTCTCACTTTTGCTGAGTATTATTTGAAATAAAGATGGATCATAATGTGAGTCATTTATCTCTCCTCTCTGATGCATTCACACACACGCCTACCACTGCCGGGGGATGGCGGAGGAGTGACCTGAATCTCAAGCACCTTGGGTTTGCAAACAAAAACCCAACCAAAGAGGTTACGCAAGACCAGAACGAAATCTGTGGCTTCCCCTTTGCCCGCTGTTTTTTTCATCTCATTATTTCAGCTGGTGAAAGTGCTGGTGAAACAAGGAATGGTATCATATAATGAAGCCTTGTATTTTATAACAGTTCCAGAGGAAGTTGTTCCTATTTCGCGCTATGAATATTCAAGGAAACAGATTAGTTGGCTGCAAGACTTGTACTTACTTTAATTGTTTATTGAAAACAGCACAATAAATACAAAAGAATGGTAGAAGGAGGAACAAGAAATATTGGCTTCTTTCACAGACTCAGCCCCCTCTCTGCATGAACCACGTGCAAAATCAATTCTTTACATTATATATTACATTAGAAAAGGTTGAACTAGTAATATTGTCATGAGAAAGAAAAGAAAGAAGCAGCAAAGGAAAAAAAAAAGAGGTGGGAGGGAGATCTGGCCAGAGGAATATTTGTTTCCCGAGTGAGATGGGCGGTCTGGTGTCGAGGCACCCCCCCTCCGTAAGGGGGTTAAATCCATTTTATCTCTGAGCACAGGGTGGAAGGGGAGACAGGCTGAAGAAAGACAAGGTCTAACATAAGGGAAGAAGCAGAAGCTAGGCCTAACCTGAGGCTAGGAAAAGCATTATTCTTATTATACTATTTACCTATTTGCCTTTGGTAGGTCCTCAGACAGGCTCTTCCTTAGGAGCAGACCCACGCGCCTGCACCGTGTTTCCGCTCTGCTGTGTCATCCCACCAACTTGCAAACTGCACAAAATCCAGAGGAACGAATCCAAATGTCAAGGGAGCTGCCCCAGTTCCTTGCAGCCTAAAAAGGAACTTGTTTATGTCACCTGTGACCGAGCTCTGACGCGTTTATTCGGGGATGGAGCGATCCTGCCAGGAACAGAGGCTCACTTTTGCTGGCTAGCATTAAGCATATTAGTTTCTGATTTATCTTTCCAGTGTGATTCCTTCCGCTCATCCCCACAGAGGAACGCGCCGGGGGTCAGCCCGGCCGCCCGGCCAGGCAGGCCACCGCCGTACTGCTAGGTCGGGCTCCCGTTTCTTGCCCAAACACGGACAATATTGAGGCGCGTACGAATTCACTCCTGAGTTTTACAGTCGCTGGAAACGACAAAGCAAATACATCCAGGACAGTCAAATAACTCCCAGGAAACCCCCAAGCTGTAAATGCCAGAACTGACCTGGATTTGAATAAATCCGATTTATTCAAAGGTAGAATAGCGCATGGTTTCGCTCGTAACAAATTACGTCCTAGGGAGAGACCCAACCCTACAGGGCAAAGCTCCTTAGATCCAGCCCCTGCGAAGTCACCGCATTTCAGCTGCCGTTCTTCGGGGACACCCAAAACGGAGAAGTAAAATACGCCAATCCCCTGGCCCTTATATGCTGTCATAGGGACTACAGCCACATACCTCTCCGTATGTCTTGCTTCAGCGCTCCGTTTTGGCACCCGCCCGGGAGGTACCTGCGGTGCCGAGGACGGGGGCCAGCGCTCCGGTCGCCCCGGGCTAGCGACGCAGCCGGAGCTCCCTTGCAGCAGCTTTGAGGGAGATTTTTTTGGGATTCTGAGTTTGGCAGATCCAGCTGGTTTTACTTAGACTAAATCAAAGGCTTCTCAGGCTTCCCTTCTGAAAACACATTGTTTCTTCCAGGCCTTTTGGCTATATTTTATTCAATAACTGATGTCCTTTGTCTCTAGGGGACTATTTTCTGCTGCTACCTAAGGATGAACCATATGATCTAACACATGTCCAACTCCTTTTTTTGAAGTTCCTGCAATTTTTCCAGAGGTTTTTATTTTGTTCCCAGCGAAAGGTTTGTGTACCCAACAGTTTGTCCCCGCAATAGTGCTAGCTCTAGTAAAGACGTTGCCTCTCCATACAAGCCTTGCCTCTCCTCTCTCCCAGACACTACACACGCAGAATCATTTCTCCAGAGACAGAGTGCGTTATTCTATATTTTCTTATTTTTGGCTAACTCCCAGAAGATTCACTGTTATTCTCAGGGAGCAAGTAACAATCCTGCTCACTTGCATCTCCAGCAGCGCTACCCAACCCCGTGCTATTCCTCCTGCTGTTCCTTCCTTCCACGAACCCTAGCTGACACCATCCCACTCCCCGACCCGCCACGCTCACCTTCAGTGGCCGTCTACAGGGTAAGCAATTTTGAGAAGATGATCTTTAAAGGAAAGCTCAGTTCTCATAGTCACGCACGCCTACTCTAAAGAAGCATCAGCAAAGGTGGGATTCTGGGACTGGTCGCAGAAGAAATTTAACTCTAGTTCTCTGTAGTCCCAGGTGGTGATTTCAGCAGTAGCTCTACTACCCATCCTGCATGCACCTATTTCCGCTGCGCAGCGAAGCGAAAGGAGCTTGCAGAGGCGCTTGCCTCCCGGTGTGATTGCGGGGCTCAGTTCCAGGCACGCTCGCAGCCTGTTACGTTCTGCTCTTGGAGGGAAGACTCCAAAGGGAAGGAAGGAGTACGGATCTGGGACATCACCTGGCCTAGATCAGACCTCCCCTTCAGGCTCTGGGTTTTGTGCCTTGCTGCACCGCTCTGGATGTAGCACTCGGCGCGTCAGTGACGGCTCCTGCCCGGGTGTCCCTGCTGTATTTAAACGAGAGGGGGGAAGAGGAGGGAGACGGAAAATAAAAATGAGCTCTTAGGTTATTCTGGTGCCTGAAGACTAACCTTCAGCGGACTCGCAATCTCAGGAAACCTACCCAGTTGCCGGTATTATTTTCTTTTCATAAACCAGCTGCTTTTGCTGCTTCTATAGAAGACTGGTTTTGAAATATCCCTTCCAAAGCTGGGACGGACGTTTCCAGTGTTGGGGTTTATTAAGTTCCTTTGGCAGCTGCTTCCATGGCTGCTTTGTCATGTATTTCTTTGCGAGAGACTTTGAGAGTGGCAGAGAGGCTTTGCAGATAAGGAGTTGAATTGCAAGCTTTACACTAGCAATGTAATAGGAACATTGGGGAATTAAATAAAATTATATTTTTCCTAGATGTCTGCTTAAAAAGGAAATTCTGGATTTTATGGATGCCCCAGAGACAAACTATTACATTACATGTCTTGCAGAGTACTATCTGTTTGAGCACCTCAAATAGCACAGAATCATTCATAAAGAATGGGCAAGAGAGGCTATGTCCCATCAATATTTCACGCTTAGTTATCAAATCAAGAGAAATTCATGAGTTCTGCTCCAGCTCAACATTTGCAGGTTTGATACTGTTGTTTGATAGTTAGGGGTTTTTTTTCTCTGCACTCTCATTGTCTTTAATATTTTATATAATCTTCCAGTTGCTGGTTATTGTAATATTTATTAATTTTTTTTTTACTTGGCTGCACGCACCAGTTTTCTCTTTTCTCTTTCAGCAGGGAGAAATTCACACTCATTTGCTATTTGTGGGTTGATGACATAGTGTGAAGAAGCAGTAATGATGACTGACTGATAGAAGACACCATATGTTCTCTTCATTTTTCTCTGTGCTGTTTTCTGAGAGATGAATAAAGACTCCATATAAGAGGAACTTGCCTATAAAATAGAATAAAAAAACTTTGTCTTTTTGCAAATCATGGGCAGGATGGGGGAAATAATTTTTTTTTCAAAAGCATTCAGACAGTATTTCTATAAACCTCAGGCTCCAGATCACCAAGATGAATAATTTCCAAATTTTTGTACCAGAAATATTTTAAATGTGTCTAAGCCCCAAAATATAACTTCACAATTAATTTCCCCCTCCCACAAACGTTGCATTGCACAAGGAGTCTTTCAGCCTTCCACAGCAAAAACTCTGAAAATGTAAGTCGAATTTACCTATGGCTAAACAAAAGCTAACAATTTTCTCCTGACTTTTAACTCAAAGAGTATTGAATATAGGATTCTAGGTCACAACTTGCAACATAAGATAACCAACGAAGCTGATTATAAGCACATTACTAGTATTACCAGGACACAACCTCAATACTAACATTATACGCTGGAATATTTCCTTATACCCCGAGTGTATGTGTCTGTACAACTAATAATGCAAAAGATTATTAGAACAGTATATTCCTTCAGTAAATACTGCATTTCCTGTAACATGTTTTAATCTCAAAATTAATAAGAAATCTCATTTTATATAAATACCTGAATGAAAATCTTATACTGCTATAGACTACCAATTCACCAAGCGCTTTCTTTTCTTATATAAAGCACATATACATTTTTTTATAATGTTTTAACTTATTTGATTCTATCATCTCAAAACTAAGGCATTTTGATTTTTGCTCCTCCTCCTAACTTTGTAATAGCAACTAAAACCAGACTAGATCCACAACCATACACCTATCTGCTCATGTTATTGAGCAGTCAGGAACAGAAACAAAAGAGAAAACAAAGGGGATCCGTGTTGCCTTCTGTTCCCTTAGCCATAGAGGGGGAAAAAAACCCAGCCCTCCCCACTACAGTAATAAGCCCCAGAAAGCAGGGCAGAAAGATGTCTTATTTTCAAATTTCCAAGAACGTTTTGCAAATAATGGAGACAAAACTGAAGAAACTGTAATTGTGAAGCCTTCTGAGTCTGGGGCAAAGAACACGTTTTACCCTGTACCTGGGGCCAGGACCCTTACCTGGGCTTTGTCCTCAAGCTCATTCATCCAAGGCGTTTTTCATCACGCAGCGCCACGTTTTGCCCACGCCGCTCGCAAGGGCGGCCGCCCCCGGCTACACTGTGCAACCCAATGCACTTACCCCAGTTACATTTATTTCTTTTTTTGCTGTTAAATCTACGCATCCTGCGCCACAAAGACTATGCCAGAAGTAGCTGAAGTAAAGCCATGATTGCGGTTTTCTTGTAAGAAACGTTTCCTTCTTCCGCTGAGCTCCGAGGGGCAGGAGCGCATCTGCCCCGGCAAACCTTGCTGCGCGCGCGCGCGCTTCATTTTTCTCTTGCAGCAGAACGAGCCCGAGCCCGACCTCTCAGTCGGGTACATATCCGCTCGTCACTGAAGATCTGACCCGCTTAAAGACTACAGCACTGGGTCCTTAATCAATATTTTAATAAATAACACCTACTTGCTTGGAATAATTGATTGCTAGGGAGCAGACAAAGCATAATGTATCGCTGCGCACCCAGACAAAGAACAAACGTCCTAGTTTATTTGTAAGTCACACCTGGAAGTATTCAGAGCGTCCGAGCTCCGCTCCACCTCGACGCATGTAACGGTTTTTTGGGGGGAGGAAGAGCACCCAGCCGGCAGCGCGCCGCCTCGCTCGCGGGCCCGGCCGCCCCCTCGCCACCGCCGAGGCACAGCGCCACGGCGCTCAGCACCCGCGACCCTGCCTGCTCCTGGGTTTCGCTCCCAGCGACGGTGACACAGGCCACGTGAGGCCATTCGCGGCGTTATTTCCTGGCCTATCTCGGTTTCGCTCTTATTAGGCACAATCGTGCAGGAAAAGCCTCCCTGGG